AATTCTTGCTATACATCATTTTCTTTAATATCAACAAAATTCTTGCTATACATCATTTTCTTTAATATCAACAAAATAATGAATCATATCACCAGCTTCTCGAGCCAGGTGACATTGTACCCGTCGACGGAATATTCTTGAGCGGCCACAATTTGACATGCGACGAATCAAGTGCCACCGGTGAATCTGACGCGTTGAAAAAAAATAGTTTAGATGCTGGTGGTGATCCATTTATTCTTAGCGGGTCTAAGGTGTTAGAAGGTGTTGGAAAGGCGATCGTCATCGCAGTTGGTAATTACAATAATTTCTTATTGACCTGTTCTAAAGTATATTGGATTTGTCTATTAAATGTTGACGTATGTTTATATCAATAACAGGTCCTTATTCATACTTTGGAAAGACTATGATGGTAATGCATTATTCTAATTAATAAATCAAAGGTCTATGAGAAGATATTTTAACCTTTATTGACTTTCATCAGGCACTCCGTGGTAACGAAAGCACTGAAACTCCTCTACAAATTAAATTGGACATTCTCGCCGAACATATCGCCAAATTGGGTATGTCTGCTGCAATGCTTATGTTGATGTGAGTGTTTTTTTTAACCAAACCATGCCATGCCAAAAAAAGATTATACAAAATAAAAATTATTTTTTGTTTAATAATAATCTTCGTGTTTTTTTTTAGTACACTAACCTTAAAGTTTTTCATCGCGGCTGCTATATCTGATGATTTTCCGGATGGTGAAGAGATTGCTGCTGCGCTTATTCAAATCGCCATTCAAGCTATTACTATTGTTGTGGTTGCTGTCCCGGAAGGTGTAAGTGAGATTGAATAATACGGGGGGAGTTCAAGAAAACATAAAATATTAATGGATTTTGTTATATTTTAAAATTGTAGTTGCCCATGGCTGTTACGCTTGCTCTTGCATACGCCACTACACAAATGTTAAAAGATAATAATTTGGTGCGCGTGTTATCCGCTTGGTATGTACGGACTACTAATTTACGAAATTTCGTGTTTAATCTTTCTACACATCAAACCTAATATTATTTGATCTTCAATTATTAAAAAATTAAAACAAAAAAAATAGTGAAACAATGGGCAACGCAACTACAGTATGTTCAGATAAAACTGGCACATTGACTCAAAATAAGATGACGGTCGTTAGAGGATTCCTCACCGGACATGAATTCAAGAGTCTCACAATGATCGAAAGTTGGAGAAAAGACGTAGATCAGCAAACATTTGATACAATTGTTGAAGCGATTGTTATCAATTCTTCGGCATTCGAAGGAAAAGACGAAAATGATCAATTAGATTTTATTGGGTTTGTTTTCTTATCATCTTTGAGTGAGGAATATAATTGGAAATGTATTCATTTTTTTACGTATTTAAATAGATCAAAAACAGAATGTGCATTACTTGGATTCAGCAAAGGTCTTGGAATCGAGTATCGAGAAATCCGAAACTCGTATACAGTTGCCAAAGTTTATCCTTTTGCATCGCAGAAAAAGACAATGACAACTGTCATTAAACTTCCGAAACCCAGTAAAGATGGTGAATATCGAGTTCATGTAAAAGGAGCCTCAGAAATAGTATTGGGCTCGTGTAGACGATATGTCGACGGCGATGGCAATATCAAAGAATTAGACAGCACAGCAAAAGCAAACTTTGAGAAAACGATAAGTACTTTTGCTAACGAAGCCTTGCGGACTATTTGTCTTGGGTATCGTGACGTATCAAGTGCAGAATATTCAAAATTCGATGATGAACATCCGCCAAATGAACAGCTTATTTGTTTGGGTATTGTTGGTATTCAGGATCCTTTGCGTCCAGGTGTCGTCGAATCAGTTGAAAAGTTTAGAAAGGCAGGTGTGTATGTGAGAATGATTACTGGGGATAATATTGCAACAGCAAAAGCAATTGCACGAAATGCTGGTATTTTGACTAAAGGAGTTGCGATTACTGGACCTGAATTCAGAAAGATGTCTGAAGATGAACAAAGAAAATTAGTACCACGACTTCAAGTACTCGCTCGCTCTTCACCAACTGATAAAACAATTGTGGTTAAACGATTAAGGGAACTTGATGAAGTTGTCGCAGTTACTGGTGATGGTACAAATGATGGTCCTGCTTTGAAATTGGCTGATGTTGGATTTAGTATGGGAATAACGGGAACTGAAGTGGCCAAGGAAGCTTCCTCGATTATTTTGATGGACGATAATTTCAACTCAATCGTAAATGCTTTGAAATGGGGTCGAGCAGTAAATGATTCTGTGCGTAAATTTTTGCAATTCCAACTTACCGTTAATATCACAGCCGTTGTCATTTCATTCACTAGTGCCGTAATTAGTGATGATAATGAGTCTGTACTCACTGCTGTACAATTGTTGTGGGTTAATCTTATTATGGACACACTTGCTGCTCTCGCATTGGCTACTGAACCACCAACAGACGAACTTTTAAATCGATATCCAACTAACAAGACAGCTTCCTTGATCAGCTATCGCATGTGGAAAATGATTACTGGCGAAGCCATTTTCCAGATTATTATCAACCTGACATTATTAAATATGGGACCAGCCATTTTCCATCTAGATGACAGCAAACATGATAAAGTACTTCTCAGCACTCTAGTCTTCAACACTTTTGTGTTCCTGCAAGTATTCAATGAAATCAATTGTCGAATTATTGATGATCATTTGAATGTATTCAGAAACATTTTCAATAATCACGTTTTTATAATTGTCCAATTCGTCGTGATTCTCGGACAATTCTTGATTGTACAATATGGCGGTGTTGCTTTTGGCACTACTTCATTAACTTGGTATCAGTGGCTTTCGACCATAATAGTAGGATCCTTGTCACTTCCTGTTGGCGTAATAATTCGTCTCTTCCCAAACACGTGCGTCCCCGAACGAATTCTCAACGAAGAACGCAAACCGCTTGTCACACATTCCGAGATGCGATGGGACTCGGCAATTCAAGATGTACGAAGTCAACTTAAAGTGTTTGGTGCACTTCGAAAAGTCAAAAGAAATTCTGTAAGCTTTCCTAAACCCAAACATCCCGAATCTTCGGACAGTGGGTCCTCGGCTCCTAAGAAGAAGCATAATTTGTTGGATATAGCACGTGCTGCTGCTGCTTCAAATAATAATCAAAATAGTCAAGAATAAAATAACGGATCATTATTATCATTTTGTATGTATGGTTATAAATATATTATAAATATTTACACAATAAAATTAAATATATTATTTAATGTGGGGGATCATGATGAAAACGGATTATGATAATTTGCAATATCTATTATAATAAACTATAAATACTGTAACAATTATATTAATAAATTTAGCAATATAAACATTATTGCAAAATTAATTTAAGTTATATATTTTATGCATATATCATTATTTTCAAAATATTGCTCTTTTATAATAAGAAATTGTCGATAATTCTGGCCAAATGATCTCATGATCTGCACAATTTTGGCCAAAATTTTCACCATAATCTGTTTTTCATCACATTTAATAAATGTACATATTGCTACAAATCAGGCGATTTCCTGTTAATAGTAAGATCACCCCCCTTGATTTATATCTTATAGTTTGGTCAGCATTAAGAAATTAAGTCAAAGAACATGATCAATAGTGTGATCTGTAAAAATTACAAGCAAAATAACTTCAGGTATATTATTATATTTATGTTTCGTTCCTTTAACTTTAGAATACAAAACGTAGAATAAAAGAATAAAATAAATAACGTCAATCATGAAATTCTGATCAATAAAATCTCTAAAAATCTAAAACCAAACAATTTAACTAACCAGTTTTGGAAGTCGGTACCTGACCAGTATTCTGCAATTCGGGAGTTATAAACAAAACGTTGTACGGAGGGAAACCATATCTCTTATTAATTGCAACATATAATTCCGGCCAGAATTATCATGTTCTGCACCAAATCTCATAATTCTGGCCAGAGCATGTGATCAAAATTCTTCATTGTTTTTTTAAATCATTGATCAAGTTATTTCGAGTGAATTATTAAATTAATTGTTATTACATATAAATCGAAAATTAACAATTACACCAGCGCAACCTGCTCTTGAATTTCATTATTCTGCTGCCTCTCATTATATTTGCGAAACTCATCAATCCAAAATACAGTGGATGTGAGAACTAACAAACGCAAAATATCAAAAAAACTCAATGCTTCAGTTTGAAATATAGATTGAAAAAATGGCAAATAAATGACCAGGAATTGTCCAATAATAGAGCCAGCCACTGCAAAGTTGAACGTTGTATTCGAAATGAATCCCAATTTGAGTATTGATTGCTTTTCAGAACGACAACTGAGAGCATTAAACATATCAAAGAAAACAAAACAAGTAAAAGTCTGTATATAAATCATAAATATAAATCTGATTAGTAACAATCAAGATGAAGAATGTAAAAGTAAAAAATATTCAAGTTACCATTGTAGTATCGCGTGATGTAATGACACCATCACGCATCTCAGTGATGTAAATAAATAAAGTACCAATAACAATAGAGGTGGCTGAGGTTAAAACTCGCTTGATCAAGGTAGGTGTTAAAATAGATTCACCTTTTGCTCTGGGTGGTTTCCGCATTACATCTTTATCAATCGGCTCTACGCCCAAAGATTGTGCAGGAGGACCATCCATTAGAATATCTGAATAAAAAATTATATTGAAACTCAAATATGATATAGTCGGAGAAACTCATGAACTATTGACTTACTTATCCATAGAATTTGCATTGCATTAAGAGGGTTAGGAAGCCCGGATATTGTTGAAATGGCGATTAGCGTTAACGCAGCAATACTTGTACTCAGCTGGAATGTAAGGAAATTCTGAATATTATAGAAAATTGATTTTCCTATATGCGTGTTTGTGTTTTGATAGAACATCTTAGATTCTATAGAGAGATAGAAAACAATATTCGAATTATTATGCTTGTAAAAAACCACATACATGCCTTCCTTTACAGCTTCCAAAATAGTAGAAAAATTATCATCAACTAAAATCATATCAGCAGCTTCTTTAGACACATCCGTGCCTGTTTTACCCATTGAGATCCCAATATCTGCCATTTTTAAAGCAGGCGCATCATTGACTTTAAGGTATACAAATATAAATAGATTAATATATATGATATATTCAAAGTTAAGTTTAATTAAATCACAGCTTACCACCGTCACCTGTCATTGCTACAATTGCTCCTTTTGATTGATATGCCTTTATAATAGCCATTTTATGCTTAGGGGTAGTCCTTGCAAATACTGTAATATTACTAATTATGTCTTCTAATTGTCGTTCGTTCATTTTTTCAATATCATTTCCAGTCAAACAGCTAAAACGAGATGTATTAATAAGAATCCCTAATCGACGTGCAATTGATATTGCTGTTCCGTCTATAAGCAAATAAATATGTAATTTTCAATTGAATTAATTACAAAATCAATCAAATTTTATTTTTTTATTAAATGAATTACCCGAGTCTCCTGTTATCATAATTACTTTAACTCCACCACTTATTAATTCCTTTATAGATTTCTCGACACCTTTTAGAATTTATTCAAATTTATGAAAAAGAATTAAAAATGTTCTTAAAAGATTAGCAATAATACCTTTTCTCGGAGGATCATACATTGCGACAAATCCAACAAATGTGAGTTTGTTTGGATCTGCTCCGTATGCCATTCCTAATACACGAAGCCCATGTGATGACATCAAACTAGCGTGATGCATTACTATTTCCCTTGCGCGGATGTCAAGAAGTGGTAAATTTTTTTCTGAGTGCAAGTAATTAGAACATCTTTCTAAAACTAATTCTATTGAGCCTTTCAAGTATATTATTTCTTCTTGTGAGCTATCATTAATTCTTTTACAGCTCACAGACATCCATTTTTGTTCCGAATTGAATGGAATTTCAGAGACCCGCTCATAAAACTATGATTATTTATTAGTTTAATAATTATTATTCAATACAATATTGAGCTTTCGTAAAAGAACCTTTCCGAGATAAATTTACCTGTCTATCGTCTTGCAATTCAAGTCTAGAATGAGCGCCGAGTAAAGCTACTTCTGTAGCTTGTCCAATTTTATTCCCCTTTTCATCAATATACGCATTGTTGCATAATATCCCTGATTGATTAATGTTTTATTTAAATTGATTTGAAATTCACTAAGGTAATTTAATTTATTAAAATAAAGGCTAACCTATTTTTAAGATTTCACGCATTGAACTATTGGTAGTATTTGGTAGTCCATGTTCCAGATCAAAAATCATTTCTCCATCTAAGGTGAATATTTTTGTTACGGTCATAACATTCTCAGTTAATGTACCTTGGCGGATAGACAAAAGAGCATTAATTAAATTAAATACTTGTAGCATTCATTGTGCATATCTAAGGCAAAAAATTACCTGTCTTATCAGAACAAATCACATTAACAGAGCCTAAAGTTTCAACAGATGGTAGCTTTTTCACAATGGCATTTCTTTTGGCCATCCGAAGAACTCCCAAAGCCAAAGTAACTGTGACAACTATGGGAAGACCCTCAGGAATTGCGGCTACTGCCAGACTGACTTTGTAATAACGAAAGCCAGACACGTCAACGATGATCAAAAAATAAAGATTAAAATCTAGAAAATTATTTTTTCAACCTCCAATAGTAAGCATTTCCAGCCAATGGCGACCTTGTAAAACTCCGATAATAATAATAATTCCGATAATTGCAAAAGATAAGTAAGAGAGTTGTTTCCCAAGTTGATCCATGCTAATTTGCAAGGGTGTTTTCTTCGTTTCAACCTATGGTTTGATCATAATAATTCATTATTAACAAAAAAAAATATAATTAAATATTTAAATAATAAATACCTCTTGCATCATGGAAAATACTACGCCAAATTCGGTTTCTTTTCCTGTACCAACAACAATTCCTGTTCCGTTTCCTTGATTTTCGCCACCAAAAATATGCAAGTTAATAAGCAAAAATAAAATAAGTGCTTAATAATTGGTATATGACAAACCATTTCGAACCAGTGTTCCCATAAATGCAATATTTTTTCTATCTGGTAAGCTTAATTCAGAGTACAAATTATCGGAAATAGCTTCAGTTATTTTTTTGCAAGGTTTATTTTCTCCTGTTAAATTAGATTCGTCAATTTCCAAATTAACAGCCTAAAATAATATTAACAATATACTAAATTAAACATGATATTTTTCGCTGAATGGTAAATTAAAATTAATTGATGTACCGTAATTAATCGAATATCTGCTGGAATTCGATCTCCAATCCCAAAACGAACCAGATCACCCGGTACAAGCTCATTTACAAGAGTAGTGAAATTATGACCCTGACTATAGATTCATATTTCATGTAAAGCTTTCTAATTAAATTATCAATATAATAATAGTAACCAAATAAAAATTTACCGGATAAGGTGACAATAATGGGGAACGAGTTTATTTAGTGCTTCTAAAGATTTTTCTGATCGATATTCCTGAACAAATCCAACTAAATGCAAAATCAAATTTTTAATGTTAAAAAGATAAAGATAAAGCAAGTAACCAATATTGGTATATAAAATTATTAAAATACCAGTTGTTACAATTAAAACCGCCTGATAATCCGTCATATTTTTATTTTGTTAGAAAAGATTCTTCTAGATTTCATCCAACTTTCAGAGTAGAATCGAATCTGTACCCACCAAAATCACCGAAAAGGCATCATCGCGATTTCCCATTATAAAGGATATTGTGGCGGACGCTATGAGTAGTAAAATGAGGGGATTTTCGAGAAATTGCTTGGCAAACTTGACGTAAAGGGATTCACCGTCATTCACTTCAAACTCATTGAGACCACTTGATTTTCTTCTAGAGACAACTTCTTCTAAAGTTAAACCATTTACTTTGTCGGCGCGTAAACTTACAATTACTTCATCGATGGTACAACGAGCAAAACGTGCAGAAGGAGTAGCGTTTACCATTTTATTAATTGAAGTGACATAGAGCCAGATGATGAAATGACCTCTAACCTCGAAGAAACTTATACCGGCTTAGTGTCGATCCAATTTTCGTCTACATAATCCGGCCTGAATTACGATATTCGATCCATTAACAGGACCGGGAAAACTTATACATGTATATATATATATAAACCAAGAATTATCTGATGATAATGAATTATATTAAAAATGGTAATTTGCGGAAGATAATCAATAAACTTTTAAAGAAAAACTTGATCCGTTAAAACTGTGTAGTTACACGTGATTTTAATCCGATTCGGATTGCAACCATGTGATCAAAATCGAATAGCCAATAAAAATACTAGTAATGGCTCATCAATAACAATGAACTTTAATATTGTTATCATTTTGATTGACTTTTGAAATACTATTATAGTAATAACAGTAATTTTGTAAATTCAAAGAAAATTTCAAATTTGAAAAATAATTGAAAATATTAAAGATCTTCAAAAAATAATAATCTTTAAGAAAAAACAAAAAAATAATATATTAAATATATTTTTCATCACTTTTTCATCATTTTTCATTACTTTTTCATTATTTTTTCATTATTTTTCATTTTTTTATTATTTTTCATCATTTTTATTACTTTTTATCATTAATTATTATTTTTCATCATTTTTTATCACTTTTTTATCATTTTTCATTAATTTTTTATTACTTTTTATCATTTTTCTTTAATTTAATTATTTTTTATTATTTTTTATCACTTTTCATTATTTATCATTTATTTTATTATTTGTTATTCTTATATTATTGATTAGATAGTTATTATTATTTGAAATTGTATTTTCAAAAAATATATAAATAGAGATACTATCTGAGTCTTAACTCAACATATTATAATTAAAAACAAAAATCTTTCTTAATAAAAATCTTCTTTCATACACTTCCTGTCTCTCATATTTTCTTTATACATTTCAAATCTTGTGTATAAATGATTTTATATCATATTGAATTTAAGGATGCTTGCCAAAATTTTTTTAACAAATGCTGAAATACCAAAACTCTTATTATAAGTAATAATTATTATTGTCAAAATAGTACAGTAATGCTGAAATAACACAATAAATAAATTTCAGCATAATAAATAATTTTGACATTGTCAAAGAATTTTAACATAAGTAAGTAATTTTGATATTATTAAAGTAATATTAAAATGACATAGTAATACCAAAATGATGCAATAAATAAATTTTGATATAATAAATAATTTCAATATTGTCAAAGAATTTCAATATAAGTAAATAATTTTGATATTATTCAAGTAATATTAAAATGATGTAATAATATCAAAATGGTATAGTAAATAAATTTTGACATAATAAATAATTTTAGTATTATTAAAGAATTTTGGTATAAGTAAATAATTTTGATATTATTAAAGTAATATAATAATATTAAAAAGATATATTAATAATTTTATATTAAAAGTTTTTAATTATATCAAAATTTTTTTATTTAAAATATTAAAATCTTTATTATATCAAAAAATATTACAAGTAATTCATATCTAAATTAATAATTTGTAAATAAAAACTATTATAAATAAAAATTAATTATTTCTCTTTACCAAATTCTAATAATAAATCATCATTATTAAAATTAAATATATCTTTTTCTAAAACTTCATTAATATTATTATTATTATTAATTATTATTTTCTTTATGAATATTACTTAAATTATCAATTTTTTCTTTCCAAACTATCAATAATAATTTGATGATCTAAATTAATTATTTTTTCAAGATCTAATAATTTAATTATTACTATAACATTATTAACTGGAATAATTTTACCACTAATTATATATCAATTATCTTCAAATATACTTTTAGTATTATTATTATTATATAATTCAATTAAAGTTTCATATATCTTAATTAAAAGTTCTTCATCTGATAATTTGTTATTATTTTTTCCATAAAAAGCCAATTCTTTTTTTGTATTTGACTGATAAAAAGATATTATTTTTGTCATAGATTCTATTTTTTCACATCAAGACAAAGATGATATTTACTAGTAAGCCATCCTAAAGTTAAAAATCCTCATTCACAACTTGCTAAATTTGAACAAATTGCAAATAAATATAATGCTAATTGCTAAATATAATTTTTGTGAAGTTCAATATTATCACCGTTGTGATATGTTATATATTATTTAGATATTAATTGACACATTATGTCATTATCAAGAAAAGCTCAACATTTATCTATATAATAGTATTTCTCTCACATGATGATAATATTTAACAAAGAACAATGATTATTAGAAATCTAATTGGTTTTTATTAAGATATTTTAATTGGTTCTCTATTATAAA